TATATATATAGCTTACTAAGGCCTATTCCAGTGGCCTTGGCGCTGACAGACGCAGAAAGGACTTGCACACCATTGTGTTCACTTTCCGTCACTGACTGAGTCGCCGAGCTTGGTATGATCTACGGCCTACGTGGTTCCCTGGTTAGCACTGGGAGTGCTTCACTTCTGTCCCTTTCATCTGAAATAGACCTGGTCTTGCAGCAGGTAGTTTTCCCGCCGAGTTTGCCAGCTCTTGAGACGCGAGAACCCAAAGGTGCTCGCTTCGCTCTGTTAGATGTACCTTTTCTAATCGGCTGTTAGCAAATCTAGTAGGTAGTCTACGCACACGACTTAGAGTTTATCGTGGGACGTTCTTAAAACTTTGAGCAGCGGTCTGTGCGTCATTGGATGCTGTGTCACGACCACCATCACATCTGTTGGCCTTCCCTTTCGACGCTAGTTTCTTCGTTATCGTACCTAGAACTGATTTTGCCCCTTCGACCAAAGTGTGAATACACAAGCAGAACAACACGCGGAGCCAGACACTTCCTGTTTTACTGTACCTCTCATATGCTGAGGGTGTGAGGCTTGAGCAATTGTCGTGGGACCAACTCCCGCACTGCAGTAATTTTTGCAGCTTTTTAGCTGAAAAACTTTTGCCGGACCTGAAGAACATAAGGGTATGTCAAAAAGGATTTGAAACGTGTGTCGTGTCGATACAATTTGTTTACTTCTACGTACCTCGCGTAATTTCATTCGCAACCATTTATGGTAGAACAAAGCTCATCTTGCTACCATTATTCCAAAACTCTTGCTTTATGTAGTCACTTCGACAGTTAAGTCTAGTAAACGCATATATGCAGTTGGGAGACATGCTGAAACCCTGCCAGCCAGCCAAGAGACACAAACCACCGAGTGACCCTCAAACATTTGCAAAAGGTAATACTCAGACGGTTGTGCTCAACCAGATGCCAGAGCCACTTACCGGCACCACTGATACCAAAAATGACATGCTCACACTGCAGAGTACTTCGACAGATATAATTATTCTGGGTAAATACGCTTCTTTAGAATGCCTGGGGTGGAGATACTTATGGCAACTCCGGGATCCTACGCGAATACGTGATCCACTTCGTGGCAGAAGTTAGTTAGCGGGGTATCTACATCTTATCGGTATTAATGAGACATGGTTTTATCTTTGAATCCCAGGTAAAGAGCTGACTTTTGCCAACATCATGTTGCTTCGAAAAGAAAGGGCACCCGGTAAAGGCGGGTAGGGTGGCACTTTAAGTTACTTTTTCTGTTGTAGCCCACCAGATCCACATTCACGAATTCGGCTGCCTTCAGTGGTCCATCGTGCAATCCACAAAGCTGCTTAAGGATAACAAATACTTGCGCTAATGCAGGCGTGGCCCTCCAGTGTGGATACAACTGTTACTGACCCCCAGAACGCAATAAACGAACACCAGAGGTAAGAAAAACGCGGGAAAACAACTCCTTTACCTGAAAACAGCTTTCGTTTGTGAAGTTGATCACAACATCGAAATATAAACTACCGACGCTTAGTTTAATATTTCTGGTGGCATTGCTTCCACGTCCAAATTGAGTTAGCGGCCATATAACACCAAGGTGAAACTAAGGTGGAACAACGCACGGGAAGTTTTGCTACCAAACTGGTGTGCATCTCCCAATATCCGAAAACTGGTGACAGCCTGGTTGGGGTCAAATAAGAAACAGCCATCTAAAACTCCCAGTAAAGTAACAAATGTTAGAAACAATTAGCTATTCTCTCAAACTGAGGCACGTATATTTTGATTCCGGGGGTTTTCACCTACCTGGAGCTAGTTTTGCAGATCAGGTGTTCAGTGAAGGGAACCATTCCACTGAAGCTCGATTTCTCGAGCGTGTTGAAGAATTGGCGACAGTGGTATGTATGAGAGCCGTAACGCGATGGATGGATATCGAAATCCCACCTCACTTAGACTGTGCCCCACAAATACAGAGTTTTCGATAGGTTACGTTACAATCTCCTCTCCTTCGGACAGGAGTGGCCCCCTCGCTCTCTGCTTCGAGTCCGTCTATCAACCTAAACTCACCTCACTTCCAACGAGTGTCATCTGAAATTCAGATGGATGAACAACCCGTGTCTTCCAAGGGCACTAGAATAAAGATTGGGAAGCTGACCATGTGTTGCAGAATGTGAACATTTAGAGATTCTTGCCCTACGAATTTATTCATATCAAGCAATTCTGTTCGACTGTCATTTTCAGTGCATTGAAAGTCCCGGAAGTATTCAGTAAATATGCATGCAAACTGCCTAGCCCGGAAGGACACAACTAGGCCCCACACGAAACCAGTAGTAAAAAGCGCACACCCAAAGTACCCAGAAACACGACAAACACATGGAAGAAAGTTCTGGGTGCCAACGTGCTCTAGCATCGAACTAGGATTGTAAACGTGTTAGCTTCTAACCCAGGAAGTCGATTCCATTTCCTTTATCGTTCGGAAAAGCTAAAGGAGGAGTCTATCGACTGGTAGACCCTTTTAACCTGAGGGCTTGGGGTTAATACTGAGGACAATCTGCTTTAGACAGCCACAACGTCGCAAGCAAGAAGGCGGTGGCGATTAATAGTGGCAACACGGAAGCGACAGAACCCAGCCGACTAGCACCTGTGAACCATTTCGTCATCGACTACCTACCCAGGAGTATACGGGTATCACGTTGACAGAGCGGGACTCTCCTTCTTTGACTTAAGCGTCCGATAGTCTTCGACTTCCCACATAGAATGCTTCTCCAGGACTGGACAAAATCCATGCGGTGGTTCTGTGGGAAGGAGGACCAATCTCGGCTGAACCCCTGAGTAGGTTATTTTGAAACACTCTTATTCATGAGAGGGTGTCTAATACTTGGAGATTGTGTCACATAATCCGAGACACAAGATACAGCCAATCGAGTGGCACAAGGAACTGTAAACCAGCGACTGCACACCCTTATTTGTCGAGACTTTCTCAGGGCATGTGGCCGCGTTAGCCGCAGCCGTCTTATTGGCAAGCCAAAGCCAATCAGGATCATACCAAAGCTCACTGACTGGTCACTATCGCATTGACGTGGCTGGTTTTCTAGAGTTCCAGCAGTTTTTCCCATGTGTGAAGGGATGGTATATCCAAGCGTTGTTCCCTAAGGTTCACTACTATGACCTCCTCTTTTCTAATATGCATATACTGCGTGCATCAGCAGGTTCCTTCTGAAATCTTCATTTCAGCCGGCAATAGGAAGCTATGGAGAGAAATCGAAGGTCAGAAAAATATCTCTTCCCTAAAGGTATATTATTTTAACTGTTAAACAAATTTAACTCAACTTCAAAACGGGGCAATCAGCAACAGACTTGCATTTGACCGTGGAAAATTCATGGTCGTTCATCTGAGGCATTGCACATGTCGTGTACATAATGTGAATAGCACAAAACCGGAAGCGTCACAATTGGAGGAGGAGGTGGGTGACCTGGTCTAGTAAGACCCTAAATCATATGCTGACTGAGTGGGAAACGTAGTTTGTGCCAAACTAGTGGCAGTAACTGAGAGACAAGTTTTTGCAAAATTCGATCATGCATGTTTGCAACAGAGCTTAAGTGGCTTCATACAGCCTCACACGGGGCTCAGGATCATGTTCTCCTCCTCGCCCCTGTCAGTTTTACACCATGTCCGGAGGTCTGTGGAATTTCTTAGAGGACTCAGGTCTGATATGTGCGGGGAAAGACTAGAAGTGCTTGATCTGCATACTCTAGAGTATAGAAAAATAATAGACGGTTTGAAAATGACTTACAATATCCTACACACCCTTTGATGTCTACTTCGTAACTTATTTAACCCCAGTCGTAACACTGATCTCAGGGGATATACACAGGAATGAAGCCTAGAACATAGCGGGTAGGGTATTAAGCGCAACTTCTGCTCCCCAAGAATTGTTAAGCCTTAGCACCTCCTGCCCCGCGGATAAAGTCCCGTCTGTTTCGTCTGAATCCTTTCGACGCGAAGTTGAGTCCTGCCTACGAAGTTGGCGCGAGTTCAGTCACAACTAACCTGGTCTTCCTATTTAACCACTATCTTCCCCACTTTCTCTGCTTTGTGCATAAGTTAGAAATCAAAGGAACTTGTTGTCCATTGGTTCTGGATACAGAAGCCAGTTAAGCGAAAGTTTCGTCTATTCTGCCACCAGCCATTCAAAACTGTCTGAATCTAATTGTAGTATATCGTTGTTTTCCCCCTAAAACTTTTCATATTTTCTGTGGCACCCAATTAGACCCGGAATAATATTCTACTCTTTGCCTACTTCATGCCAAGTCAGTCATCTAACTGTTGCGCCTTTCTTGCTATTTCACTTTCCAACAATTGTATTCACCTTCTGATGTTTCCTCTCAAGGATACATGGTAGTCAAGATACAAAATAACCAACCATTTGAACAGTTTCATTGTCATGGGAAGAATTGTAAGTCTTTCTGGAGCTCAAACCAGTATTCGACAGTCATATCGACCCTCCATGGAGACAGCAAACAGGTAGGTAAAATCATCCCACAAAAGTCCACTGGAAACTTGGGACTATTCCTCAGCATTGGAAATGAAGGAAGAAAGGGTCTGTTATTTCAAGGTGGATTTCAACAAATACACTTTCTAAATGGGTCTCCGTGGCAGAGTCAAAACGTTGAGGAATGATACAAAGTATTTTTTTATTTGTTCTAATGCGCAACATCAAGGGTACACAAGTGAAATACGACTTATATGATGAAACACACAAGGCCCCTCAGCTCATCCAGAAAAACTCCTCAAAACCTTCTTCTTCGTTATTTATGAAACCGTTTTCTGATGAGAGCTACTGACCCATGTGAATTCATTGCCTCGTTAAAATTTACATCCTGTCATAACTGCCCACATGTTTTTTCACTTACTTTCTTGGGTTTACTTCAGATGACTGACTAAAAGATGTATCGAAGCCATGCAACGGTTTGGCGGAAACTGGGACCAAAGTAAAACAACTACTTTTACAAGATCGTCATTTAAGTTTCGGATTATAGGCATTGTATGCTGAAAGGCGGCTGTTTAAATACTACTTTACGGTTGGGTATACTATTGCTGTAGTAAAATAGCAGTACTATAGTATGATCTCCCCAAAGCTGACTAGCAACAGTTTTCGTTGTTTCTCAGTTTTGTCACGACAGTTTCGATCCTCATTCAGGGCATATTCTGATTTAAAGAAGGGGAAGTCGATCAGTTTTAGTATGTGACCTTCATATCTATCAATTTTTAGTCATTATTCCCAATGTGAGCTCTGCACAGAAATGGCCTAATACTAAACTTGGACCAATAGATACTGTCAATCCAAAGTATCCCTTGCCTGGGTTTGTAGGACTTACACTGCCTAAAGAGGAAAAATCGCTTGAAAAGAATTTCACACCCGCAGTGTATACACTACCGCCGTTGAAAGAAGAGCAATATGCTGCAGTTCTCCTAGATGTTCATAATGACGCAGAAGTAAGTTTCTCAGTCATAACACTTGAATCCCTGAATAGTCAAGATTTTGGGATACAGCAATTGACAGAAAAGGACGAGGGCATACATTAGTCTGTATATATATGGGTTAATGGACTGTTATTTCTAGAAGTAAAAACATTCAGGTAGTGATTTCAATATCTTTAGCATAAACTGGAGCCAAGGTGAACTTTGAGGTACTGGCTCGATTATCTGTTTGTGATACGATTATTGGAAAGCTTCTTAAATCACCTCGGTTACAAAGCCTACCTTGAATACTTAGGTGATTAAAGCTGAGGTTAGTATTTGAGGGTAGAAGGAACCAAGGCGAACACGTTGCTTCATTCTTATGTGGTTCGGCATATAACTGTTTCAGAACTTACACATTCAGATTTCAGCCTGTTATTCATGGGTTTGAACTCTATACCACCTACCAAGGTGGGAATGACCATATAGAAATAGTAGCTATGACGATTTATTGCATGGGCGACACGTCTAAGATGTCAGTTTTACAGTCATGATCAAGTCGATAAGAATGTCTTGCATACGACACGTTTGACGTGAAAACGAATCAGTTTAATAGACATCATTGGTTAATAAGTACAATAACAATATGTTTCTGGAAAAGAAATGAGCTGTTTAGAGGCAAGGATAAACATACAAGATAATCAGGTGATAAAATGTTTGATAATATTTGGAGTTATTGTAGACTGTTTCAGAACGTGAGGTTTTAATTGGTTGCTGGGCTTCGTCAACTTCAAATTTTACCTGAGCAATGAGGTACGTATATCTGAACCAGTGAAGTAAAGTCAAAAAGTTTATTAGTAGCTATCACAATGAGAATAACAGCCTGTAAACATAGTATTCACAACATTTTGGTAACCTTCACAGAGATAAGCATCGTGGGGATTATGAATTATCTAAGCATTAATAAATTCAGTTTCTAACTCTAAAAATAAGCTTAATTGCCTGTTAATAAGCTTTCTGGGAGCTAAATGGATTTATCAGAACTTTCATCTCACTTTTACTCTGTCAAAAGCCGTGTCAAGGCAAAATGCAAGTAGGCGTATACTGCAGCGCTTTTTAGGGCACACCATCGTCAGATTTCACCAACTTACGTTAAAGATGAACGCTGTTTTGGGGATCCTGAGGTATGGTAATTAGGCTCATTTTATTATATCCAGCTCAGCTGCGTTTGTAAATATGTGGGTTATACCCCAGTGCAAGACATAAAGATATAACTTACTATGCGTCAAAATAGCACAGAAAATGATACAAAAGTAGTAAGATGGTATTAAAGCAAATAAAGAGGGGAAACTTGGGAGAGGAAAGAAATGGATAGGGATTACAAAGGTATTCCGGACCTTCAAGAGGACAAAGAATGAATACATCCGCGTCATCGTGACGGACTTAAGGTGGACACAATTTCTTAACGTTCTAAAGACCGCAAAAATGCAGCGTAAATTTTGTAACGTAATTCAGACCAGCAATTAACGGTCTCATGTATTGGTACTGTTTTTTGGTCTTGGATTTATTCCAGCCTAATCGTATTTCGGTCACAATTATGCATTGTGTTGGTCGGTAGCTCAGGGTACATAAAATATCCAAGCCACCTTAGTCACTTGAGTCTCACAACGCTGAATCCCATTTCTTGCCTAGAACGTTGCACCTAACACCACTACCTGATTTTGGGTTCCAATATGCACAAAAGAGATGGCTTAGGACGGAATGTGGTTTCGTGTTGTCCAGCTCCAAAATGTATGTCTTGCAGGCACATAATAAAACGCGGTAGATTGCTTGGAGTGTGCTAGCCTTTTGGAAATTGGTTCATTATTCTACTGGCTTGAAATTAATGTAGGTTGACAGGTTTCAAATGAAGTTTATGTATGTTTACCGAGATCATATCACAGACCAAGTCAATTGGTTAACACTTTTGTTTGGCATGTGCTTCGCACCTGTAAAATGTTAGGTGGTGCTCCATTACCGATTTGGAACTGCTCCCAGTTTAGTGATAGGGAGTGAAGTGATGGGATGCGTCGAACGCTTCACTTGCGGGGTTACATACGCTTGGCTTAATCTCAGCTAGGACACAGAAGGGCCGTTTGGCATTTCCAATTTCCACTATGTAGTGAGACGACAAAATATCCGACTAACTATCAAGGGACGAGTATACTGCACTGCAGTCTGATTGTATCCTGCTATACGATTGAGACGTTGGAAGTAGAAGATATGAAGAGACCATCGGTTTTTGACCATAGGTTTCTTCGTAGTGGTGCTTGCTGGCGTAAGGTGGAGTCAACATGTTGGCAATGTCATGATCAAGCAAAGGGTACTAGGCAGAGAAATCAAGTCAATCAATGAGATTGTGAACCTTCATCGGCTGAGGCGGCTCGGATATGTGTTAAGAAGGCCGAGCCACAGCCTACCTCAATCTCCAATGCTGGGGGAAGTTGGATTAGGTTAAAGTGGGTTCAGCGTAGTCATACTGAGATGTGGCACTAGTTCAAAAAGTCTGACTGCTGGTCTGAGCCGTGTATAGAAGTGTAGACTGTCTATATGGGGCCACCGAGAAGATAAAAATCAGTAGTTAAGAACTCTTTGTAACATGGCTGGAAATCGATTACAGTGGCGCGGATGTATTCACTCTTTGACATCTAAAGCTTCAATGTTCTGACCAACCACTTTAAAATGTCTTATTCTACACACCCTTGTCTACTTTGATATCAATCTTTTTCTATCGACGTTTTGTTTGTGTACTACTGTGAAGTGTGATAAGTTGAACCGATACACTGGTGTGCGAAGTTCTATGTTTTCGTATCTGTCTAGTGAACTAGTGACTGAAAAAATTTCTGCGCGGATACGAAAGGTTGGCTTGACTTTTGTCACCAAATGCCATTTACGGCGCCATCGTAATATACTGCGTTATTGTTCGCTCTGTTCTACTATATGGATGTGAAGACTGTCAGTTAAAGATGGGGGCTATGATAAGGGCTTTCGGTGTTCGATCACCGTTTCTACCGTTACATAGTAGAACAGAGCAAACTGCGACCTGTTTCACTGCCTTTAATTGACAGTGGGATATCATTGTGGCTCAGTGACTTGGCAAATCCCGATCGAGCCTTCTATATTTTTGTAAAGATTTCACCAACCACTTACCCACCAAAGCTGATCCTACTCCACAAGTATATCAAGTGGTCATTGCTTTCAACCACTTTACCTTCTATTTTATTAGACAGGGTATTGAAGAAGACCAGTCATGAAGCAATAATTCGCACTCAACTTTCCACTCAAGGTGTGCTCAGATGGCTTAATCTTGCTAGCCTCTTCATCTAATAGAGCTATATCTCCTACATACTCTAAGTCTACTAACGATTCTGCTATTACAAGATCAATTTAAAGTCAGGCAATCAAAAAGAGAGAGAGAGAGTTTCATTTCATCTTTGACAAAATGCAATGAGAATGGAGGGAGTAGATGCCTTTGACGGAAACCCCCCCGACGTACACAACCCGCGTGATATCTGATCATAGGTATGACACGCCCATATATGTTCTCGTACAGAACCTTCAGTGGAATGATATATCCCCTTCAATGATCGACACCACCGTAAAACCTGTCGATTGACGGTGTTGAATATCACTTTCGGGTCAACAAATAAAGCTGGTGTCTAGCACCAGCAAGTGCACTTATGCACTAAGACCTGGTCGATGCAGTCACGACGAGGTTTGAAACATGTCTGTTTTACTCATGTTTTCTGTTCCATCGCTCCATGAAGACGTTTAATGTTTATAGAGCGTAGAATCTTAGGAACTATGTTCGTCAGGCTGATTCCTCTGTGATTACTACAAGAGGATCTCTCCCCGTTTCTTGAATACTGAGATAATCAGTGTGATCAATTAGAGTGGATCATATGTGATTACCATACAGTAGCTAGCACTTAAATTAATCTGACTGATAATCTGCCACCGTTCATAAACGCTTCCGGTACTAGTCCATCTGGCTGTACTGCCCTTCCTTGTTTCAGATTACTAATAGCCTTCTTACTTTAGTCTATTAAATATGCCATACAGTGAAATAATATAGGTTACTGGACAGCATTTTGTTCAAATTCATATCAGGCAACTCCACAGCTTTGAGACATGATGTATATATTTCTGATTCTCTCTTTGTTTGATAAGGGTAGTAGAATTTTTCATATATTTGGAACAGGTGTAGAATCATTCGTATTTTATGTATTTGGTTTTGATTCAGTAAACAAAGGAGAGGGAATTAGAACTGTACAAACCGCGTCTCAAGGTTGTGAAGTTACCTGATATGATTATAGACAGCAAATCATCTCCAAAACGTAATCCAATAAATGATACTGTTTCACTGTGTGACACAAAAGATGAAGATTGAATTACGATCGACCACAGTATACAAGTTTTGCCTCCATATTAATACTTACAGTCTTCTCACCTCCTTCAAATGTTAGAGGCCCTGTCTCAACGTTCCATTCAGGATCCAACTGGATAGCAGGTTACGGAATAGCAGCTGGTGATTAACTGAACTGTTTCTCACTGTGTTCCACCAACCATCCTAATCTTCTCCCCTGCGAGTTAGTCGCAGACTCACCCTCCTGCCCTATAATCTCACTAACCACTAACTTTTATCCCAGCTTCCTTGACAAGTCTAAATAGATGCCTACTGTCACCTGTCTCCTTTTCTTTTTCTATCTATTTGACTCACTACCTACCACTGCTCATGGTCAACAAATGGACCCTCTATCACTTTTCATTTGAGTTGCTGCCGCTCCTCATTTCGCTCTGAACCTTCATGAATGCGTTCGCGTGCATCCCTTAATTAACAAAAAGCTGCTAAGACCCGCTTCCCTTTTTTAACCACTTTTTGGGAGTCACTTAAGGTCAGTAACACTGTTTTTGCATCAGTTTTGAGATAGCGCAGGCTTCTGGATGAGTGACATTGTTGTGTTCCTATAGTTGTCTAGCCATTTCCTCGTTGAAAGTAGCCTCAGTATTCATTTAATCGAGCTGTGGAGGAAATGGTCTTAGTGCTTTAGATTTTGCATGTCCGTTTGTCCTCAGAAACACGCGTGCTCCAGAAGGAGCAGTAATCTTACACCGATCTTCGTGTGATAACTAACAGTAATACGTCTGTGTTCACTGTCTAGTTGAGGTCAGTGAACGCAACATCAGACAATATCTGTCTTTATGTTTGAAGTTATTGCTCGCCAAAAGGAAATGGTCATCTGAGCAAGAATGTGGCAAGCAATTGCCGTTTTCTGTTTGTTCCACTGGGATTCCGAAAGAGGCTTTCTTTCTGACTTAGTTTACCCACTTGTGCATCTACTATGCCAACCATATTTCAGCATTTGGCTTTCAATAAGAGGTTAGATATCTTTCAGTATAACTCATCTCTCACTTCGCCTACACTCCAGTTATTGGATGCGTAAGCAAAGATTACAAAAAGACGATGATTAGTTTTGGTCAAAACTGCACCGTTCCTCTGGGAAGCGTACAGGTGACTACCAATTGGATACAATCCAGCTAAGTTAGAGTGAATAATCTTGTTATTTTCTTATTGATCGAGGTTGTTTGTTGATGGGCTTAATCATTCGACTTCCAACCAGTAGATAATAGGTTTCAGTCCACCTCCAACTAGTGAGATATCCACTACCCCTTACAGTAAGTGCAGTTCATTGCCTATTGCACGGATATGCATACAGTTTCTGAGTTTCAAGTGTTCATCTCTTTTTTATTTTGATAAAATTGATAACTCTGTTGCTGACATATTTATTTGTGTTTTGTCAATTAGTTCAGTGGATATTCGTCTTCAATTATTCCGGTGATATCTAATGAACTGGTATGTAGTATACATACTTGTCCGACGTTAGTTCAACGAGGTCAGTTATTCCTAATCTTATTGTATAACGTAAATTATAGATTTATCAGATATTTTCCCATCGAGAAAACTTCTTACTACACCTCTAACAGCTTTAGTTCTTAGTTATCATACTAGTGAATCGCTGGACATGTTGAGTGAGAAGGCCGTAAATGAAATTGAACAATTAGCGCAATCGGTAGATTCTTGAGATTCTTATTAATGACATTAAAAATTGTTCAGTTTATCTCTTCAGCGATTGAAATTTGTGCTTCACTTAAAAAATTGGGTTATTGGGCCGATTTTATTGACCCATTCACTAACAAACCGGTTTGTTTTGTAATCGTTTACAAACAAACTTAACTCTTTTTTATTGATATAGTATATTGGGGCACATGGTGAAGCAGTTCTTAGTGAAACGGATGAGAATATAAAACACTTTGGATTTGAACTGAACAGTTCAATGTGTTGTAAGATTTTATGTCATCCTAGATGGAAGAATCATATATTTGTTGGATTGATATTTACAAATGCACCACGGAATCACCCTATCCTATCGCATATTTAGTTTACTCTTATTTTACTGTTGTTTTGCAATGTTTTAATTTTGAGAATTGTGTAATAAAATCAACAGATCAAGATGTGTAAACACATGTATGTGTGTATTGACAGTATATATGGACAGAGAAATATATCAGTTCTTTGGTATCACAATTTTATATATATATATATATATATATATATATATATATATATATATATATATATATATATAATGTGGTTATTGCTTTTGTGTTATCACAATAAATTATACAATTCAAATGCTTACCTTTTTGCTCATCATATAGTGAGTGAATGTTATTGTTAATACAAGCTTAGTTTTCTTAGGATTACTTCGGAATTGAAAGTGATCAAAAAGATGAAGAAATCAAACGTCAAGAAGCTAAGCATAAAGCATTAACTGGATCAAAAAGTATATTGTATATCTTATTTATATTGCTAATAAGATCATTTTAAGATTTCATCGATGATCAATATTTCAGTGATAATGATGGTAATAGTGAGTTGTCTACAGTCAAGAGTAGTAGTAGTCGTGAGTTTCTACAAAAAAATTCATCTAAGAAAGTGGCTCAATTTGATTTCAATGAATTATCTGAAATCGATTCACAATATTTTGGTAATAATTCATTTCGTATTGTTGTTCTTTTTTCTTTTAAGTGATTCATATTTATGTTTATATAATTTTGTGTTGTAGCAGTAGGGATCATAGTGTAGTTGAAAGATAATAAAATGAGTTACAATGAAAGTGTGCAAGTTCATCTGTTAGGTGCTCAAGCCTAGTAATGCTACTACTCAAGTAGATGGAGAAGTTATAAATATATAGTTGATATTTAAAAGTTGACTTACTGGTTCACTTGATTACACTTCTATGTATTTGAATGACAATTATTGTATCAAAATCATGCATATGTGTAATATACGCTTATCAAGAATATATTTTCACAGCGACCACTTCAGAAATCAACTATTGCTATTTATATTTTACTATGCTGGCCTAATTGAGTCAGTTTTACTCTGTTGTATTCAAGTTGCTTGGTTATTCGAATTCATACGCTTAAAAATTCCTAAAGCGTACAAAATCTAAATTCCAAGCTCCTTGTCGATTACATCTAGTTATCTAACATATCACCATTCACTATGATTTCAGGTCAGTTGTCTTCTTAGTGAGTAGACATTTTAGCCTGATAATGAAATATTCACGATAAAATGCCAAATCATCTATGAAAATTGGTTGTATACAACTACATATAAAAGTCAACACGGAATTTGGGATTGAATTGTGTCAAAATGTGTCAGATACATTTTAATGATACTGAGGTTAAATATGTGTTAATTTTACGCATATCTTATCAGTGTGAATGTGAGCATAAATCGAGTGAACTTATCTAATTTAGTGAGTGTGTTGGTGTCAAGTAGCTTACTAGTTACTTGTCAGTTTTATTACGCAACCGGTATCCACTTTTTTGGTTTCATACCCAGGGAATTATCTACATTTGACTACCTATCAGTAGTTTTAATAGGTTGTGCATAGTTTGTTTAGGGTTCTAATGAAGAGAAAAGAGGTAATATAAAAAGTGTTGTCTAGTCGCTAGGTTATTTTTTAATGATGAGTACCTTTTTTGTATTGAAATGTAGTAACGAATGAGATTCAAATGATAGCTTGCATGCTACTCCCTACTTTTTCTACGTTCACCTCTTGTGTGTAAAATAATTAAATATGAACTTAAAAACAGTTTTTTAAATCTGATATCAGCGCATTACTGGGCAGCAAAGTGATCGTTTATCATTGGAACAGGGTTTGTACGTCTAACTACCAGTTGTGATCTCATTGTATGTTTATTTTGTTAACCTGAATAAAAGTCAGATTATATCTGAGTGGGGTGGTCATATCTTCTCACTATTCTTAATCTCTATCACAAAGTGAATAGCATTAAATTCTGCTTTATACCTACTGTTTAATCGTTCCTGAGTAAAAAAACTTTTGTGTGGACTAAAAGACTAGAAGTTTAGTGGCAAATTATCCGGACCCAAACATTACTGTTTTCCTTATCATTTTCATAAACTTTGTAAATATTTTGTTTTTTACGTGAACCATGAACTGGGGATCAAACTTTGACTGAAACAGTTCGTCTGAGCTCAGTGGATTCAATGCACCAATGTGGATGATTGTCATCATATCATTTTTGTATTTCCAGTTAAACTGCCTAATATCTTAATACTCACTAGGATGATTGTTATTAATTGTAGTGTACTGCACAACAGGGGAGGCTTGACAGGGATAATTCGATACTAATGTTTGTCAACAGTTTCCAACCTCTCATTTCATGGATTATTTTCATACTGATAGATTTTTATGAGTACAATATTAACCCCAAGACTGTCACTAGTTCAAGACATGATTTGTATTCTTCCACTGACTGAAGTCAATTTGACTTTGATGTCAGTCAGCCTAATTTATTGTTTATTTGTCTCTTGGGTTCCTACTGGGACGTAGAGCTTCAGTAACACATCGCCATTTCACTGTCTTTTCTGCAGTCTTTTTAACGTGGCTTTCATTTCTTCCTCATGCAGTCTCCTCCATGTCACCCTCGACACCGACGCCCAACTCATCGTTTCCCATTTGGGTTCCACTCAAGGGCCTGGTCTGGTGCGTGATGTCTCCAAACCGTCTTCTCAGTGTATGTCCAATCCATCTTCACTTTCTTCTGCATATTTATTGGGCGATAGGTTGTTGGTTGGTTCGTTGCCAGCCAGCCAGAGTTCCTTGTTGCTTATTCTTTCTGGTCATCTGACCTTCAGCGTCAGTATCGAACGTGGGCGGCAGCTGTTGGTGATGCATGTCTGCAGTTTGTTGATAACTTGTAGCGCGCCAAGTTTCTGAACCATTTAGAAGCATTGGCTTACTTGACATTGAAGTTGAAAATCCGGATATTGTTCTTTATGCTGATTGCAGTGCAGTGCAGTAGATCTCCACACTGATTTCAGACTAATGAAGACCTGTCTTGCTGTCTTTCCGATCCTGGCTTTGACATCCTCATCTGTGTCGCCGCCACCTGTAGTTGAAACGATGTTGCCTAGGTAGGTGAAAGATTTCTTCCGTTGATGGTGATTGGTGCTTGTTGTTGATTTGGTGTCTTCATCATCTCTGTCTTCTCTACGTTTACCTGAAGGAGGTTCCGTCTTCGCTGCTTCTTCTGTCAACTTGTTGGTTTTTGCCTGTAGATCTTCGAGTTTGTGCGACATTAGATATTACACATAGATCATCAAGGGCGAAATTCAAATTTTCTAGGGTCTTTTCATCGACCGACCAGCGTATACACATCTTCTCGCTCATATTTTGTTGCATGATCCAGTCCAGTCCATTAGACCACAATCAGGAAGATCATCAGTGATAGTAGGCAACCGTGTAATTCAGAATTTCTTATTTTACAAAGAATATGAAACATCTAATAAATGTTTTTAAGGAATGGAAATGGTTTTGATTGAGATTTATTCCTGGGTAACACTGCTCGCACCATACTCAGATTCTTGTTCACCACAGTTGGTAAGGTCCTGTTTATATGGTCTCAAATTTCATTCAACATTTTTCAGGGGTTACCCTATAGGTGCTTATTGTCTTAGCCGTTCAGAACAGTGTTTGAATTGATTATGTGTATATAACTCTAATCTTTTAATGAGTGATTATATCCTATCACGGATGCAAACTGCGCGTTTGACATTCTCTAACTCATCTAATCTAAGTCATATTCAAGTGAAAGGGCAATCTATCCTTTTTTTCTTCATGGTTTGCGTTAACTGATTAACGAATAGGGAGCAATGGTTATGTGAAGATGATGTCATATTTTTCCCTTGAAAGCTGTTGTTGCTTAGTGTTTATCTGTAAAAAAGTGCAATGTAAGCACTAAACTAATAATTCACTGGATATCTCAGTATTTATTGCTAGTTGGTTGTAGGAAGATTGTAAAGTTTCAACGTCAATTTTGGTTCGGATTTTCGGGGGAATAAAATTCTCATAAAATTGTAAGTATGCGTTGTTGTTGATACCAAACATATGAGCTCCTTCAACCAGTCAGTACTTCTGTAAGTGATATTGCCTGATCATTGAAGGTGGAGTTGAAACGTGGGTCACGATAGGATTGGAACCGGCAACCTCCGGGTTATCGACCCTGTGTTTTACTAACTGAACTACAAGACCAACCGTCGAGTGTTCTCAGCTGTCATGTGCATCCGTGAAACGTAACTCTCCGTTGGTTGTAATCACACTGGTTGCTGAACGTATTGAACGTTAGCAAGACTATCTGTGGTAACCGTGGTTTAGGAGACTGTTGTTGATACTGGGTAATGATTGAAAGTGAAGTGGAAATCTGGATTACTACACGGTTCAGATCAGTGTCCTCTGGGTTGCAAAAACCTCATGAAGAGCGAAAATCACATCGTTATTGATCTCATTTTTATTTATTTGTTATCAATCATGTGGATCAAGGTTCCGTGGGATCTAACTCAAATGTAGCAGAAAGCTTGAATCCGATAATCAGTCCACTGTTAAGTTCAAAGCCTGTAATCATCAAAAACGATAGAAGACCTTTTCCTACTCCTACGGTTACTGCTCCTAAGAATAATTTTAACCGAAAGAAATCGAAGCTGGATTCAACTATACCTGTGCGTGATCCTGATAACTTATCACAACAGAATGATATATTAGAAGAACTTAACGAAAATGATGATGATGGTGAAGCTGATACTGTGGAATATGGTTCGGATGCAGTTAGAATTGTACGACAAAGAACTAAGCTAAATTTATACACTGGTACAAGTAAGTTTGATCTTCTTTTGTTTAGTTTTTATTCGGTTAGAACATCTTAATTTAGTTCCACATTGATAATTTAAGTCTTCCTTAATTGTACACTGTTGGTTAAAGCTGTTTTGATAATAATTAGTACTTTCCAAATTGAAGTAATTCAGTGAATACAGAAAGCTTTTTCCAAAGTTTTGCATCATCTGCTTTGAAGAGTTCTGTATCTCAGTCATATATAAGAATATAGCACATTGATGTAGTGTACATTCCTTTCTTAATGATGGGCATTTGGTGGATAGCTTATTGATGCAGTGATTGATACGATTTCCTGGGTGACTACTTAACGTGTTTACTATATTTTATGAAGCAACATAACACGATTAACTGATTATATGAAACGGTTATTGCCCGTCTATACTCTACTTTAGATAGTCAATATGCATAAGTATACAAACAAATCATAGGATATTTTTAAGTTGAGATCATCGTAAAATGTATACCAAATGTTGTCAAGATTTTATGCAAGATTCTCATGAAGCATCCTTGTCATTCTTCAATTTGTTATGTTCACCCTTATTGGATTGTTACATTCTAGCAGTAAGACTTCGTATACTGTGTTGTATTTGTGTTCATGTTAGTTGAACCGATTACTTATTGCACTCACCACATGACTGTCGAAACAATGAACATATAATGACTTCATATAATGTGTATTTCAGCGTTTATTGATGTTTAAAAATAGAATCCTACTGTTTACTTATATTTAAAATACTTTCCATGGGACTAATAGGTAGGAAGTATCTTTATCTTATTGTATTATTATTAGTCCCTTGGGTTCCTACTGGAACATAGGGCTTCAGTAGCACGTCTCCAGTGACCTCTGTCCTCTGAGATCTTTTGAACCTGGTCCCACGACAGCCCAGAAACTCTCATTTCTTCCTCGCACGACCTCCTCCATGTCACCTTCGGACGTCCAACTCGTCGCTCCCCATGGAGATTCCACCCGAGGGCCTGACGAGTGATGTCCTCAGTCGGCCTTCTCAGTGCATGGCCAATCCATCTCCACTTCTTCCTGCATATTTGTTGCGTGATAGGTTCTTGGTTGGTTCGTTGCCAGCCAGCCAGAGTTCCTTGTTGCTTATTCTTTCTGGCAATCCATCTGATCTTCAGTAGCAAGCGTAAGCAGTTGTTGATGAATGTTTGTAGTTTATCTTATTGTGTTTAACTAAAAAGGTAAGCGTGCAGTTGTTGTCTAGGTTCTATTTTGTTGATTACTAAAATAATGTTTTGTTTATTTTATTACTTAGCCTTAGATATACCATCTCATAATAAACAAAGTTCATCAATTCCAGAGAAGTTGGATAGTCAAGGACATCGTGTTCCAGATGAAGATCCATTGAAATTTAATTTTCTAACTGAAGAGGAAGCTGCAACTGCACTGTACAAATCAATAATTGAAATAAGAGGTTTGTTGATAAAAGCTGTTATGTTTTTAGTCGTTGGCAAAGTCTACCACGTTGCAAGATGCTGGACGTTGCTTTTATTTTTGACGTTAGTTTTCATTGATAAGTGATTGTTAAGCTTCCCTCAGTATAGATGAGACTGAATGATCAGTGATGTGTGGTTGATGTAGCATAGTTTTGGTAGGGGTATACTAAATGTTTGTCATATTAGAACAAATAACAAAATAAACGAATATTTTGTACTATTCCTCAACGCTTCGTTCTTGCTAGAAAGATTCTTTTCAAGAGTATGAATGTGACATTAAGTTTTCAGGTTAATATTCAAGTTTTGGTACAGAAGGTGGTGACCTTTACGATCATCCAATATATTGATTTTTGTTCTATATCACGATGTAATTGGATGGTCGTTAAGGTCACCACCTGTACTAAAACTTGAATATTAACCTGAAAATTTAATGTCACGTTCATACTCTTGAAAAGAATCTTTCTAGCAAGAACGAAATGTTGAGGAATAATACAAAATATTTGTTTATTTTGTAGTTTATTCTAATAAACTACACCGGGATCACACAAGTAAAAATACACCTTATAAGATGAATCATACTAACTCGGTGGCCAAGTTTTTCCAAGCCATTTAATGCATTGTTGGTCAGGATATGTTCAAAGATTCTTAGTTACCTGTGGTTTCGTGGAATCAACTAAGTTGAACTACAGAATTATGTTGAACTGTGAATGGGATTTCGAAAAGTGCTAAGTGAATGACCATTTGTATGAAGAATCTAACAGATAACGGGAGAGACATTGGTTGATTAGATCAGTAATCGTATACCTTGAAGACTAACTCATGTATTATCGAAATAAGTAATACAAAGTTGTAAGTTATTGAATAGCTCATAAAAAATCACTTTTAATTTGGAGGTTTGTGGGGATTTTGTGATTTCAGGTTGGTATTCATCATGGAGTGATATTGGTTGGAGAAACATTGGAAACCTAAGAGCACTGGACAACCGTTTCGCCCTGTCATGGGACTCTTCAGCAGTGCTCGGACCCAGGACCTTCAGGTTCCATGGCCAGCACGTTACCATTGAGCCACTGGGTCGAAATCCAATGGTTCATATCTTCTACTTCTTTCATTTACTTCAAAAGATATTCCCATAATTCTACATAGAATTTCCAGCATCTAAATATATTTGTATACGGTACTTGTCGGTTACCTAAACTAGAGTAAGCAGAGTTTGTATGAATCTACGACATCAGAGTTGAAGTTGTGCTTTTAACCAAATGGGTTTACATTTATGCCTATCGAGCTGCAATTTAGTTACCCGTATACTTGATTCTCAAGCAATAGTTTATACGTTTAGTAACATGTAAGCGTCTTTTAAACCCTCGTACATAGTCTTTTTTCGATTTTTGAGCAGACGACAAGATAAGACTAAGCTATTTTCTGTCCGTTAATGATTAAGACGATTCAACCGATATAAATAAATCTAACTGGATGTGTGTGTGTGTGTCAATGGAGTGTCTTTTCGCTTTCTTATCTTTACTGAGGTTTATTGTACCACATAATTGAGTAGTTGGGGGGGGGGGGGGTTCTTACATTCTCAGTAGTATCTGTTGCACTTGAAACCTAATAGCTATTTCAGTCTTTTTTCTTACAATTCAGCAATTTGAACTCATAGTTTAATTTATAGGTTATCCTTTATCATAAACTGGTTTTAGTGAATGATATATTAAGAATCATGGAAAAATAGACGGACGTTTCATACTTTAATGACTTCGTAGTCATAAGTACCTGTAGCCTCCTTAGCAACTCTGCTCAGATGTTATCGTCACTACATTGTACTTAATCTGTTATCGCATCAGTATGCATCATCATATTAAAGGAAAATTCGTTCTGTATACCGAGTTATTTGGTGTTGAGGTAGTCGAACCATGTAGACAAATTTGTTTCATCACTTCAAATTCTAGGAGTTATATTTTCAACCTTGAAACGTCTCGTAGTCGCTATACTGTTGAAAATTTCAAATTGAGACAGTTAACATATTGTATTTAGCAATACAAAAACGTTCGGTAGAGATTAATATCTATTCTTAATAAAAACCACTTTTAGCATTCTTGAATTCCCTAGTTCTTTGTTGATAAGGATAAAATTGATCACAGTTTATGACTATATGCACAAGTGAAAGCGGTAAATGGAAGCTATTCAGCAACTGCAACATAAGTCTTATTTATGATATGAGGAGGCTATAGAAATGTGCATCGCACTACAATCAAATGTTTGCAGGTGATGAGTTGAATTGTACATATCTCACTGATCGATTAGTAAATCTCATTTGTCTAACTATCATGACTCCAAATGAGTAGATGCCTTGTTTGTTAGCTATTAAAAAACGATACTGTTCTTTTCCTCTTTCAAATACAATATTAGTATTATAAACACTTATTTCTTTATTGTTCTTTGTTTATACAAACAGAAAATGTGATAGTTATGAATAAACCACGTGGAATAGCATCTCAGCGTAAGTGACTAAATAAATGCATATACTATTTTTCTTTTTATATTTGCAATTTCATCTGATTGTTGTTTTTAGTGCTAACAGTCTATTGCTAGACATTTCTACTATTCTTGAAATGAATGGGGATTTTTAATTTAGAGGCAGTATTCATCATGAAATGACATCAGTTGGGGAACCATTGAGAATCTGGGAGCACTGGACAGCTGTTTCGTCCTAGTATGGGAATCACCAGCAGTAGGCACCCACGACCCGGCTAGGGATCAAACTCAGGACCTTCAGATTTCATGGCGAACGCGTTAACCATTCAACCACTGGGTCGGTTCTCATTGGTTCACAGTTTCCACTGAGAACCGCCCCAATGGCTGAATGGTTAACGCGTTCGCCGTGAAATCTGAAGGTCCTGAGTTTGATCCCTAGCCGGGTTGTGGGTGCCTACTGCTGATGATTCCCATACTAGGACGAAACAGCTGTCCAGTGCTCCCAGATTCTCAATGGTTCCCCAACTGATGTCAGTCCATAATGAATACTACCCTTAGATTCCCTACTATTTGTCACACTCATTGTTCAGATTTTATAAAGTTACTAAGGAATATAATTAGTACTTTACTGAACAGGTCTATCATCAGCAATAAAAGCGGAGGTAACACCTTTCATGAAACCACTGATTACTTTAGTTCTGCTTGTTCGCTACCGTTAGGCCACAGTACTAGGTCCTACGTTGATACTGACTGACCAGCGGAATAAGATTAAGTTATATATAGTTAGTAAAACAGGACGGGTGGAAACATCTGACCATTAAAATATTTCCTTACCGTGATTTATTAACGCTGAGGTCATTTACGACGTTTTATTTGCGCAAGGTAGATTAGACTTGTTTGACGCCATAAAGGAATATGTCGATTGCAAGTGACTGATAGTGCTGGTAGTGGTGGGGGGATAGAAAACATTGAGATTCACCAGTTTTTAGTCCAATCCATTCAATTCTATAAGATGGCATTAGCCAGTGTTTAAAGAATTTATTTCGGTGTAAGCTACTTAAGATCACTTGTTGAGAAGCCAAGAACCTACTGGTGGTCGTCAGTAAGAAGTATCTATAACCCTGAAAACTATCTTACTGCATCAGATACGTGAACTTAGACTTCATAACACTGAAGTAAGAAACATTTCTGTTAGTTTACTAAGAGATTATCTTAGGTAACTGTACCCAAAGTTAATTACAGTGGGATGGATAGATTGATTCTCTTATTCTAATCTAAGTAGTTAGCGTACAACGAATTATTTCACTCCGGTTTATTCATTGATTATATCTTGTTTCTGTTTTTCGCTTGTTCTCCGTATTCATTTTAATAGCACACTTATTTATCCTTTGATTCGAACTGTTAAAATGCTATTCTAATCTGTATGTTCCTGCATTGTCTGTCTGAAATGTCATACTGATTAGCTACTGAGATTTTTCTCAATATGTTTATAGATAGTTGTCGCTAGAGATAATTGATTTTCTTTAACAAATTTACGTCGTTTAGTAGCCACATAGTTTACTTCACTGACCAATATTTACTTTACTCATATCTAATAGTCGTTCAGTCAATCAACATCATTTTGACACCTGTCATTAATGTGCAACAGTGCGAGTTGGCACACCTTATATAACTACCACATGAAGGTGGAAAGCACCAAGACGGCAGACAAAGAAGTAGGGAGGGAAATGATCAAAAGTCATAGCTGTTGAAATAGAGAAAGAAGTGCTGAAAGGATAACGGAACTCTACATGATGTTTGAGATGAGGATAATGTGTAGTTGAATCTGTTCGCACCACTGATATCGATTATGCGCCGTTTTACCTATATTCTCCAACCACCGACAGAAAAATTTAGATTTCCCTACGGATCCTAAAGACTTCATGGACTTAGTGTCATGTTTTAGTCTGACCGACTCTGAGATTTTTTCCATCCTAAACCTACGTCGTCTAACATTGTATTTCGGAGTAGACAGTGATAAGGCATACGTAATACTTGTCCCAGACATCAATTGTGGTTCCTTTTTACATGGTTTGTTGATATTACTAATATTCTACAATCTTTATTTAAGTTCTGCTCATCGCTTTGCTCACCCAATTGTCGATAAAATCGTCAGATGACGTGACACATAACCCTGTACAGAAGTTTGTCAGCTCATGTTATCACTCTGTGCACTAGCACAGTTAGAAAAAGTAGGTAGAAATAAAACGGTGGTAGAACTAATCAAATGGACATAGCAAATGACATAATTAATTTGGTAAATATCGATTAATTTTTGTTGATATTGTGGTTTGTCGTCTTAGGTCTCCAACCATTAATTCGTAACATGTCGAAGTTGTCAGCGAGGCAACGTAAACTTTGTTAATGTTTTACGGTTGATTGTTAGTGCACAATCGTTTATGATTTTTGAGTTGCAATCCTTTTTTCTTCTGTCATTCACCTTTGTATGAATTAAAAGTAAGCTAATAGGGTGGTTTGGATCAGAATCGAAACCGATTGTTGTTCGTTCTTGAAAACAATTCAAAGAATAGGAGATTGGAACATGCCTATTAACACCCCATGATTGATGATCATCATCAGTTGTGGAGTGTATTCCTTCGGGCGATCAATAAAAGTTTGTGGAGCAGCTGTATTTGTAATTAATACTTCACAGAGTTTGGAAATCACTATGGAATGAATAATATTAGTGATCTAAGTTTTGGTAATTCTAAGCCTGTAGTTCTATGGCTGATTTGTTTAGTCAGTTGACTTTCAAATAGAGGGTCATAGGTCCGAACTCCACCTGCTGAGGTACGAGCAGTCAGATAGTGTCATTATTCCTCATACAAATGGTATGGCTCATTGCCTACCTCGTGAACGTGCAGAAGGTTGCTGAGTGCATTTCGAATTTTCTATTTCTAAATCTGATTTTTGAAAAAGGAACATACTACCCAGCCATATTGTGTATACACATTATTAGAAGTTGTGAAATGATTACAGCTTTTGACCATATGTGTCTTTGCAGTGCTTGCCTATGTATGATCTAAACACATGTTAGCGATGTTGAGGTAAGGTGGTGGACACTAGGCAAGGAAGGTAAGTCACTCGATGAGATTGTGAAACTTTAGGGACTGACGCGGATTGCATATGTGTTGGACATGCCAAGTCGCCGCCTACTTCCACGTGCAGTGCTGGGAAAAGTTGAACTTGATTGGTATAGGGCTCAAGGTGATCAGACCAAGATGTCGCACCAGTGCATGAAGTTCCTGATTGTTGATTTGATCCGTGTAGGTTGTGTGTAGGCTACCTGGCTAGGGTGCCTGAGACGATAGCAGTCAGTGGTTAAGAACCCTTGGTTTAAAATGCTGAAAATTAGTTACAATTGTGCAGATGTACTCATTATTTGACGTCTTGTAAAGCTCTCATGTTTTGATTAACCTTCATTTTCAACTCTTTCACACACCTTTGTTTACTCTGATATCAGTCTTTTTGTATTCACTCGTTCTTTGAATGCTATTGTGAATTGTCGTGGATTGAACTGATGCACTTGTGTATTAGGTTCTACTGCGATTTTGTTTGTCTTATATTCACACCATTGCAACAACAATGGATGCTCTCATAGTAATATATGACGTTTTATGTATACACTTTTTATTAATTAGCTGGTCCTGATTGTAAATACAACATTATTGATCTGTTACCACGTATTGAATTGATGGTAAGGAAAGGGAGGACACATCGAGATGACAATGATGAGACAAAAAAAGCTGGAGAATTATCACTTGTCCATCGATTGGACAAAGATTCTACTGGAGTGATGCTAATAGCTAGGTAAGACGATGTTGATCGATTAGTCTGTCTGTTTGTCTTGTTCCTATTTCTCAGAACTGTCTCACTGATGACTTTTTTGAAGATAACATTTCGTGTAAATTTGATCGCTATGTTATCGCTAAACTTGACAGTGATTAGCAGTCATCAACTTCACTGTTTGGTTCAGCTGATATTTTAGTTGTTGCAAGGTAATCGGCTGGAAACCTTGCTTGATTTAGGTTTTATGCTTCTTGGTACTTGTCAGCAAAGCGTATCTCAAGGAAACTGATATCTCGCCTGAGATTCAAACCTGCCTCATGCAGTGTTGTAGTAAATGAATTTATCTTTGGGCTATTCGAGTCATGAGTTGCCTCCTACAGTTACCAATCAGTGTATCTAATCCAGTCTTACAGAAGGTCAATCGTCTTGCTAAGAACTTCTAAGAGATATGAAATCGAGGTCAAACAGGGCTTGCTACTGATTGCCTCTAACCAACCAGCATCCATCGAAGTGCATGGTGGTGATGAGCCTCCTGGCTTGGTGTGGCCCTATTGCAAAATGATCAGTAGAATTCGGGAATGGACAGCACGAAATCTGTTGTTTTCCAGTTATTAATCAATGTATTGGCTAGCATTTCAATACATATATTTGTGCCCCAGTCGCTTAGTGGATAACGCTCTGGCGTTTAAAGCGATGGGTACTGGGTTCGAACCTCAGTGGGAACAGCACTCACTGCAAGTACATCCAGCTTGAATAGTCCCAGGTAGGATGAAACGCGCGTCCTGGATTTCTCTGCTAGTCATCAAGATTAGTAATACACGTATTCATATATATCAGTAACCAGGTTATGCGTTGAATAACGGATACAATCAATTTATACTTCAAAATATATTCTACCTCATTTGGGTTAATGTGGTTCATAGCTGATAGGTGAACATAATGAAGAGATGCCTTTTAGCTCACATTGGTGATTTAGCAAAGAAGTCATGTGTAATTTTTTCAGTATCTTTTATTTAGCTCAGTATTTGACAACTAAACAGCTTAGTGGAATAACACTGATATTTGAATGGAGTGATGTTGAGTTCAAGTTTAACTGGAATGTAAAGACGCATGATGACCGACTAATAAGCATATAGGCAGTCGATAGTCAACCATCGATCCACCTGGTTCAAGCCAATCCATTTAACTTCAGTTTACGCAGCTGGATAGCGTATTTACCTCTTCCACACTATGTGTGGATCATATTGCCATTATGAATTTGCGTAGAGACTTGATCAGCCATATTGACTTCCATTCGGTGATGTGTTGACTGGCATGTATACAGTTCTTCCTTCTTTTCCCACAGACCTTTGTCGATTTTCATATTTGCCTTTTTCTATCCACTTGCTGTTTGTATGCTGCTGTGAAGTGTGGGGACTTGAACCGATGCACTCGTGTGCGAGATTTCACGTTTATTTTTATTCTCTATGTGTGTCTGTCTGTCTATCTATCATTCATTGTATCGCTCAGTGTTGCTCCATGTTCTACAGTTTATCATCATTGTAACAAAAGCCGCAACTGTTGTCTATCTGTTTGTTGATACTTTCGATCAGAATTGAGGGAATGGAATGCCTAGTTTAGAAGGAATTTTTCTTCTGGAAGTTGATTGTCAATTGTTTCTCTGGTTGTTTCTTTATATTTTCCATCAGATATTTAAATAAATGTAGGTGCATTTTATAAATTCCCAGTTAGTCATTCCCGTTTTAATTTATCAAGTAACTGGCCGCAGTTTGTGTTTGTTTTGTAAAAATTGTGATTGCCGAAGGGAAAGTAGTTTATTATTTATAAAAATAGGGTTGTTTCAGTTCTATAGTGGTTGCATTTGCTGTTGTCCAATCATTTTTTATGACCTTGACGCGTGAACTGTCCTTGTCTACGCGGATTGGATTCCGGTTTTATTTTCTTCCGTGCCGTGACCTTGATATTGTCAGTCCAATCAAAATGGGGAAATTTAATTCAATGTTGTTTGCTTTTTACGTTTTAAACTGTGATTGAATGGGAGTCTATCATTCTTCGCTGGCACATGGGCCACTTGTTTGTGATCACATGATAGTGGAATGAATCACATTTCGATGTGTTGCTCATTTTATGGGTAGTAGCAAATAGTATGAAAGGTCTTTACTGCTTTCTATCAATCTAACAATAACATGGAATCACAAACTTAAATTCTCATCCTTACTCTGCAAGTAAAAATATTTTGTCTCAGCACACTAGTGTGCAACCAAGTTGGTCCTAGACTTTAGTTTTAAGGCAATCATCAACAAACAAATAGCATCAATGTAGTAATTCTGTTGACCAACGTAAATTTCAGATGTGTATACATCCGTAGTGAACATAGTCCGATTATACTTTTTTTTCACTAGTTGGTTTCACTGATTGACTATTTCTCAGTTTACACACAAACATTAATGTTGGTATTCGCAATATGCACGTGTGTTCTCAGTAGAATATTTGTATTCCATTCAAGTAGTGTGTTGAATAAAAACTGCTCTAGTTTTCATTGTCCAACTATGAAAAATAAACATTAGAGGTGTGCCAGAGAACAAAAGCTGACAATCAAATCCACGTATTTTCTGCAACTATTGTGTACATAACATACATGTGACTATCAGATATAATTTTATTAGACCTGCTGACTGCCCAATCACGTGTTTTTTTTGATCATTTGGAGATGAGTGGTTATGGTATACATACCAGTGAAGATTTTCCTCTGAACCACAGATCCATACCCTACACCACTTTGATCATGAAATATAGGTCAATTAGCGTTATCATTTTTACACTATGTACAAAATCGTATCTATCACACTCTCCTTTACTTGGTTTTGGTGGTAATCACGTGGCAGTAATCACGTGAATACGTGATGTCAGAAAAACAGTTGTCAAAAAAACAGTAGTATCTTATCTTGATACTAGATAATGATTGAAGGTGAAATGAAAATTTGGTCCAGGGAGGGATGAAAAGTCCTGATTGGGGAGCCAGTGTGAGTACTGTCGAACGGTAATAACGTGTCACTTGGTAGTCAGGTAAAACTCTTCGTGTTTAAAGTGAAAAAAAAAGAATCTGGTCAGCAGTCGAGTCTCTTATCTCAGTTGATATAGCACAAGGTCGGAAACCTCTGTTGTCGCTGATTGGAGGAATCCCACCGTGGTCCAGATTTTTATTTCACCTTCAGTCATCAACCAGTATATCCTAACAAACCATGGCTATCTCAGATAATCAGTATCTTATATGACTCTAAATATACAACTTTGTATCGAATGTGATTGGTTATTTTTTAAAAATACTAATGCTTAGAAAAATGAAACTTCCAGCGTTATTTTCAGCATAATCACGTGACTTAGAAAGCCTATCAATAGTAAATTTGTATTTCTCATCTATTAACACTGTATATGACTTGTGACCTCGTTTATGTGTGCATATATACATGTGTGTCTGTGCCCTATGTATTTTCATATATACTATGAGTGTGTGTCTCACAAGGTTCGCTACAAATTTCCTGTTTATTCTACCAGTGAACCAATCCTTTCGGTAAATCAATATACCTATTCGGTTTTCAGTATTATTAACAGTATTAATATTGACAATAAAACTTTAAATGAAGTTTAAGATTTTTGTAAATGAGTGATGGGAATATTCAGTGTATCACTTCATTGTTTTCATTGACTGACTACTGGATTTGTATAACTTCAACTGGAAATTGTCACTTATGGACACATGAGCTTTTGATTTCCAGTCCTAGTTGGTGTATAAATTTCACAAGGTATTGAAGACGTTTCGATAGGTTTAACACAAGGTACTTTGTTGAATCCCGTGTTTTATTCCTGCTACAACTATTACACTTTGAATTTTTGACTGGTTCAAATCACTTAATGATCCATGCTTTCCTTCAACTTCTCTCCTTCTTCTGCAATCATTTAACACTCTATTGTTCAGTCAGTGTATATGAGTCTGAAAGAAGCTAAGTGAATGATACCAAGGTGTAATCGATTGTTATACTGTAAACGAAGGATAGACATTGATCGTATTCTTCACAGCTTACCACAACTCATATTAGATTTGGCACTGCTTCCAATTGTAGAATCCACTCCATGTTGCCTAACAAGCAGTAATCTAGTGTGCATATGTTCTAATACTATTGAAATATTATCACTTGTCATTCGCTTGACAACTACTTGGGGAATAGATAGTGAGTTTTCAATGGTTGGTAAGTATTTTCACGGTTCATAATGTTAAGCATTGGTTTTCACAGCATGTTTAAAGCTTTCTGCTTCTACTCCGTACTATGTTTCATGTAGGTGGATTGGCGAACTTTTAGTCGATTTTCATTATGTCAGTTGAATTAAGCGTCAACATAGTTATTCCTAGGAGCACTGGACCGCTGTTTCGTCTTATTATTAGGACTCCTCAGCAGTGCTCCCATGTTTTTTGTTGAAATCAGTAAGTCCCCACACACACCTCCAAATCAAATAATTAATTCTGTTCTATCTAAATAGATGTGTCATGACTTTTGATAGAACCAATAAAGTATTGTGAAACAATGGTAACACGCATTGGACCTGGTACTAAATGGGGTTAGTTTTTATAAATTATTTGAAATCAGGGATCATATTTCTGGTAATAAGGATTCAATGATCAAAAGTAGTTATAGATGAACTTGGCTGCTTCACGTTGAGTTGTATTAAACAAGCAAGTCAATCCAATCACAGGAAAATACTGGTCTACTTTTCTATTCTAGTTGAAGTTTTATTCATAAAATTTTCTCAAGCTATTTATGTGAAACATATCTGACAGTGAATAAAAACCCTTATAGTTGTATGAAAAGTTTGGCAAGTCGTTTTCTGTAAGTATATCTATTAATATACCATTTCTACTCTGCTGATTTGTGTTTTTGGATTGAATAAGTCCATCATTTGTATTCTTATTTTGTACTGACTTTTGTGTTGTTGTGACGGTGAAGATGTTTGGCGTATAGGTAGATAGCCAGTTGGTTTTTGCTAACTGATTAGGGAGTCATTGTAAACTTTAAGCATTGATCAAATAATCAAGTCTTATCACTTACTTGCTTCCTTTAGCTACTGTATTCTAAGAGAGTACTGAATATTTAGTCAATAGTTGTTTTTGTTCAGATTTAGTTTGTTCTTTGAACTGTATTTAGATAGCAAATGTTTTAGCATCATATTAGACATTATTATCTATGCATCAGTGCTTTACAGAGATAAGGTGTATAATGAATATCATCATCAATATCAACATAAAACTAGTCATTACTTCATAACGGTCCAAGTGGTCACATTTCATATCAGCACTGCAAATAAAAAAGTAGTAAGGAAAGAAGTAGTAAGAGGAAGGAGAAATAAGAAAGTGCTGAATTCTCAGCATAACGTTTAAGATGAAGATAATGTTTGAATGGGTCTGCACCATTGACATCGATTCTGAGCCATATTTCTTAGAGTCTTCCACCACTGGTTTCTTGTGTCCCATGGACCCCAACCGGTTAGTTTGCATCGCCCTAAATGGCTCAAACCAACTGTCAAGGACTTCATGCATTGATTCCATGTTTTAGTCTGGCCGCCCCTAGCCTTTTTCCAGATTGAACCTACTTCAGGTAACATTGTGCGACGACGGAGATGGCATGCGTTACACATGTCCCAGCCATGTTAATCAATGAAGGTACACAACCGCATCAACTGACTTTTATTTCCTCGCTAAAACCCTACACGTGAAGTCTACATTACTGACTTGGTACCACCACGACATACGACCTATGCTACGAAGCAAACAGTGATCAAACACCTGCAGTCTTCTCATGTCTTCTACTTTTAATGGTCTTGTTTCAACAACAATAGAGTAGAACAGAGCGAACTGCAGCAGAGTATACTCGACCCCTAGTCATATTGAATACTTCTCTCCAACAGTACAAGCCACTTTTTTGTAAGGTATACTTGCTTAACATGTGGCGTTGTTTTTTTCTTGTTGTTCACACTTTTACAAGAGAAAATCGAAGTTACTCTCACTTTTCTTTCCTTTTTTCACTTTATTTTATATTTTAAAGAAATAAAGATGCTGCATTGAAGTTGCAAGAAGCATTTGCTAGACGATGGATTAAAAAGACTACCTATGTATCACTGTTGGTATACCAAGGTCAGAGTATGGTTATATACAATTACCGTTGACTGAACGAAATTTCAATGGAATTCGTAAGGTAAAACACATTGAATGATTTGAAGGTTATTTTTATTTGAATGATCTGTATAAATAAATTCCATTTTGTTGTGTATTTTCAGTTCGATATTCATCAGAAACTGGGTAATGCTAGACTTACTGTTTTTTTTTTACTGCTTCTGGACTATTTAACACAATTATAAGTTTTCACAACTGGTGAACATGTTGTACTCATATGTCTCTAAAACGTTGGGTTTGTTTATCTCAGACAATGTAACATCTAGCATAACGGTGAAAATAACACAGTAGATGAAAATTAAGAAGGGAATTACCATGGGAATAATAACAATGGTTGTAGAATTTTGCCAAAGTAAACTGTAAATGAGTAGAGTAAATGCATTTTAACAGTGAATACATCTACTTCGAAGGCATATCATACATACTACTTCTCTAACTGACGATTTCTTTCGTCTTATGAATTTTAAATGGTAAGTCAACCCATGAGTATTCTACCTTCGGCAGTATATACATGTATGCTGATATGTATAACGCGTATCCTAATCACTTTATCTGATGGATACTTTCTGAACACTGAAATAATTGTCTTATATAAGACTACACTTAACCTCAAGGTTGATTGATCAGTTAATATCAGTTTATTGTAATTGTAATCTCCTACTCTCAATAGCTTATCTCACAACTGTGGATTGTAAACTTGAGAGGTATAAAAATATTTCTTCAAAACTATTGTTAGTATATAGTTTAACTAATTTTTCTTTAGGTTATCCATTTCCACGCCTAGATTTCATCAGCTACTAGTCTATGAGGACTGATTTGAAACTTTGTAAAGATAGATTTCGATATTTTTTTACCACTCCAGTTCTTCTGGTTATGCTAAATATGAGGAATTACCAGTTTTTCAGCATTATTTTGATTTCTACAAATACAAATCGCATGTTGAATAATTTTACTTTTACTCTGAGACTGTTTAAAAAGGTTTTTTTCTTCTCTACTTCTTTATCGTTCATCTGATTACTTTGTTGCTTCATGTCCTAATAAACCGTTATGCAGTAATGCTTAGTCCTGTGTTGATATCGATGATTAGGAATGCTATGACCGGTCATGTGACCTTACACTCTACTAGCGATACGAACCTAACGGGAAAAAGAATCTACTCTAACTGCTAGTCACAACGTCAACCACCACCACAACAATACCACTGACATGCGAAGACACAAATGAGAAGACTGACCGTTGACAGTGATGTTGAATGCATACATTCTAAACGACCTTGACGAACAGTAAATTTAGTGATAAGTTGAAAGAATTAATAACCAATAAGCGTTCAACCTTCAGAAGCAGTGGAATCAACAAAAGTGCCAAGAGGGCGCGAAAACAACAATAGTAAAATTGTTTTAAGGGGTCGTAGGCAAATATCAGGCAAAGTTAGGGGTATATAACAAAAAACCTTTATTTTGTAGGTGGATATTTGTTTGGACTATGTGATTCTTGTACACCTCATGTGTGAACGAATTTCAAGGTTATTAAATACCTTCTTTAGAGTGTGTCTTATCTGTAGAAACATTCCCTTCATAGGTCATGTCTAAGAATGTACTATATAGTCCTCATTATTTATGAGGTCTTTTGCAGTTACAGTCATCCTTCTGCTGAAATGTCTTAGAAGAAGATTAATTTTAAGAGTATTCTTTCTCCTAACGAAAATATAATAAGTTACTTAGTAATCAAGGCAGGTTCACTAAACATTGTGATTTATTTTATTCTTCAAGGACTACTCTAACATTGTCTTAAGTCTGAATTACAAATCTTTTTGCATTCATCTTGGAAGAGTTAGTTTTCAAGGACTAGGTATATAGTTTTTTGTTATTGTTGAAGAACTATTGAAGAACCAACTTATGCAAGTGTACACTTGATTATAAATTGATTCAGTTGAACTGTATTGATTTCTCCATCTGTATAATGTTCAACAATTAGTTGCCTATATATGGGTTACTTATTGATGAAAATTGACTTTACCGTTAAGTGTTGTGATATTAAAGCTTCATAAGGGTGTACGTAACTATCAATATTATACGGTTAAATCATGACAATCCACTATCAAGTGACTAACTGTTATGCTTAACATTATATCTTCGAGTACTATCGGGGTTTTGTATGAGTTCCTTTGGGGTTAAACAACAACGAATAAGTGACTGACTCTCACTACCTGCTAGTCTACTCGTGACCCTCCGGTTTCCATTTCAACCAATCACTGTGCTCAGCGAATAATAATCCGAACAGTTAAATTACTAGGTCGGGGAATCACATTATTTATGAATATTATATCGGTGCATACCAGTTTCTCTTTCATCGCATTCAGTTTATTCGACGTTCATTCAATCTGGTGACATTACCAAATAATTGTTGGTTACTATTAAATAAGTTCAAGGACAAAGTTATTGACCTCTCTCATATTGGTATTCATTATGAATTGCAGAATCATTAAAAACCTGGGAGTACTGTACAACTGTTTCGTTTTAGTAAGGGACTACTCGGCAGTTAACGTCCATAACCCCATCAGCGATGGAACTCTTGACTTCTCGGTCTCATGTTGAAGGCGTTAGCCATTCATCCACGGGATCGGAGTTCAATGGTCTATTAATTTGCGATATAACGCAATATTTATCCAATGCCATCGTTGAGTATTTGTTCTCATGACTGATTTGGTTTGCCCCCATTGGTTACAACTTCTTGTTAGAACTTCATGAAATCTCATCTCGGAGCATGTCAGTAATGAGAAGGAGAGAATAAATCACTCTCAAGGTTTGTTGAACACTTCAACAGCTGACTATTAACTGTTGAATGTATATATTCAATTATAAATCAATAAAATGCTAACCTTTTGTTGTTTACACTAAGGATTCAATAAATTTCACTACTCATGATGTCTTTCTATTGTTTACGCGTTAATTGATATTTTCTTGTTTATTTCTTTAGTTGTGTGCTCCTGTGCTAAATCGTCATGTCCAAGAAATGTCTTGTAAGGAAACACAATCAGAAATTGATAACAATGATAACAACGATGATATAACTGATGCTTTTTCTTTGTTACATAATAAAATGCTGATCAATAAAAATCCAATCACATGGTATCATATGTTGGATAGACGCAATGATGCTGCATTGTTGCTTTGTTCAACATTGACAGGTTTGTTATGCATATATTCCGGTTTAACTTCATTTGAAGATTTTATATATATATATATATATATATATATATATATATATATATTACACAGATTCAGGGTATATCATCAGCCTATTGCCCACATTGAGGTAAACCTAGAGAACAGTAGATTTCATAATAAGCTTATTCAGGTTTGAATTACTTACTATTTTTCGGTATTATTCACTACCTTTTAATTGCAATGCATAAGGCTGTCACATATTACTATGTAGTGTAGTAGAACTTGAGATAGATCCTTTTATATTATACACTGAGAATTTCTTTTCAAGTTAGTGAATTTGAATGTAGCTTGTCTTTCAGTTCAGATGATCCCTTAGTTGTATGCAGTAAATGGTGAATTGAGTTGAGTGTGTAGTTGAAATCAACACCAGTTCAGCAAAATTCTCATGGGTTACTTACTAGCTTAGTTTAGGAGCATCTCTAGCGTGTTCTGTTGATCAGTCGTGTAACTGAGAGAATAGGGAATTTATGAATTTGTAAATCCCAATGATTATCAGACTTGGGTCATTTAAATAAACATCAGAAGTTGGAATCAGGAGTTGTCAGCCTACGCGTTTACACATTTAATAGGTCTAATGTTATGCAACAATAATTAGATAGAAAGTCGCCAGTAAGGTAGAGAACAGGCGTAGAAATACTGCGACTTTGTTCATTCTGAAAAAGATTGGTTTTCACTTATGTCATCATCATCATCATTATCAACATAGGACCAGGCATTACTGCGTAACGGTCCGAGTTGCCACACCTCATATCAGCACATCAAGTAAAAAGGTAGTGAGGTGAAGGATGAAGATAAGTGAATGCAGTCAAAAGAAATATAAAGTACGAGAAGAAAGGAAAGAGGAGTGACAAAATAGTGAGATTCGGTATAGCGTTGTTAAGATGAGGATAATGTGTGTATACATCTGCGCCACTGACTTCGGTTCTGAGCCATATCACCTAGGGTCTCCAACCACTGGTTCCTCTTGTCCCGTGGACCCCAACCACCTAGTCTGCATCGTCCTACATGGCTTAAACCAACAGTCAGAGACTTCATACATTGGTGCCATGTTTTAGTCTGGCCACCTCGGGCCTTTTTCCAGCCTGAACCCACCTCAGCCAACATTGTGTGACGAGGCAATCGGTGACTAGGCATACGTAGTACGTGTCCCAACCATCTCAGTCGATGAAGGTTCACAACCTCGTCGACTGACTTACCTCTTCTCCCTAAAACTCTACACCTAACTTCTGCATTACTCACATGGTGACACCACGGAATACGTCCTATACTACGAAGGCAACGGTGGTCAAACACCTGAAACCTTTTTGTGTCTTCCACTTTCAATGGCCATGTTTCACAGCCATACAGTAGAACAGAGCGGACTGCTGTGCAGTACACGCGACCCTTAATAGACAAACGAATATCACGGCGGCGCCATAGGTGGCGCAAATTGGCAAAAGCCAATCGAGCCTTTTGTATCCGTGCAGAAATCTCATCGGCAACTAACCCACCGGGTTGATCCTACTTCCCAGGTAAGTGAAGTGGTCAACACACTCAACCACTTCACTCTCTATTGTTAACCGCGGTACCGCTGAAGACCAGTCCTGGAGCAAAAATTTGCATTTGGGTGGTGAAAATCGCATCCCAAACATTCTCAAATTCCCACTCAAAGTGTTCAGAAGACTCTGCATCTTGTCAGCGTCTTCACCTAACAGGACTATGTCATCTGCATATTCTAGATCTAAGGAAAATTCACCTGTGATCCGGTCAACGTCTTTGTAATTAGGTGACGAGAGGGAAACCTCCATAAGAATATCTATGATAAAATTAAATAAGAATGGGGATAGTGGGCATCCTTGACGGACACCACTTGATGAGTATAGCTCCCTGGACAACTCACCATAGGCTCTAACATGCCCACAAGTGTTCGAGTAGAGAGCTTTCAATAAGGTGATGTACTTACTAGGCACGCCTTTCAGTGACAGACACTGCCATAAGACTTCTCGATCAACGGAGTCAAATGCCGCCTTCAGGTCGAGAAATACAGCTATTGTCGGGCGTCTGTAAGCATGCCTATGTTCCAGGACCTGGCGCAGTGTGAATATTTGGTCGATACATCCACGGCCAGGTCTAAAGCCTGCCTGGTTTTCTCGGGCTTGCTGTTCCCGAGCTCCACTCAGGCGTCGGAGAATTATAGAACTTAGGATCTTAGACACTATGTTTGTCAGGCTGATTCCTCTGTGGTTATCACAAGAGGACTTCTCGCCTTTCTTGAAGACTGGGATGATCAGTGACTTAGACCAGTCGGAGGGGATCGTATTTGATTCCCATATACTGGCTAACACTTCCGTTAGCCTGACTAAGAGAACTCTACCACCATTCTTGTATACCTCAGCAGGTAGTCCGTCTGGTCCTGCTGCCCTTCCCCGTTTCAGGCTACCTACCGCTTTCTCAACTTCTTCTAGTGTTGGGGGACCTGTCTCTATGTCCCATTCAGGGTCCGACTGGATAGCGGGCAGCGCAATGGTGGCTGGAGGCCAGTTAAACTGTTCCTCAAAGTGTTCTGCCCATCGTCCCAGTCGCCTTCCCTGCGAGTGAATCGCCGATCCGTCCTTCTCCGCTATAACCTCACTAACTGTTGTTGACCATTTCCCCCCAGTCTCCTTAATAAGTCTAAATAACTGTCTACTGTTACCGATCGCCGCTGCCTTTTCCATCTCTTTAGCCTTTGCTGCCCACCACTGTTCACGATCGTTGCGCAGACTTTTCGTCAGTTTATTTTTAAGTTGCGCTCGCTCTTCATTGTACTCAGAGCCTGCAGGGATGCATTCACGTGCATCCATTAGTTTGGAAGAAGCTGCTGATATCCACTGGCTCTTTTTAGCCATTATCTTGGAGTCGGCTACAGTCTCCAGTGCTGCTTTTACAGTAGACTGAAGATGGCACCAAGCTTCTTCTGGATGAGTGACAGTCTTTTGTTCCGATAACTGCCTAGCCAACTTCTCACTGAACACGGCTTTGGTGTTTTCGTTGTCCAGCAGAACTCGTAGTGGTTTTGTTGCCAAATTTTTTCTACGTCCATTGAGACGCAGGCATATACGTGCTCGGACCAACGCATGATCGCTGTCCAAACACGTACTCCAGAAGGAGCGGCAGTCTTCCACCGATCCTCTCCAGCGATGACTAATAGCAATGTGGTCTATCTGTGTCCATCGCTGAGTCGAGCTCGGTGGACGCCAGGTCAGACAGTGCCTTTCTTTATGTCTGAAATTTGTGCTGGCTAAAAATAGGCGGTTATCTGAGCATAGTTGTAATAGGCGATCACCGTTATCTGTACGTTCAGCTGGGATTCCGAAAGTGCCACCTAAGTGCCTTTCTGCCTCACTCAGTCTACCCACCTGTGCGTTGAGGTCACCTGCAACAACCACTACGTCCGAACGTTTGGCTTTCGAGAGGAGGTTAGACAGTTTATGGTAGAACTCGTCCTTCACTTCATCCGAACTACAGTCAGTGGGTGCGTAAGCAGAGATTACAAAGAGACAACGGCGAGTCTCACTATTCCTTTTAGTTCTCACTGTGCCGTTCAGCCTCATAGCGCAGAGGCGACTATCAACTGGGATCCAGTCTAGTAGTGAGTTTTCTGCCCTGGTGCTTAATGCTATACCTACACCTGCAAGACCACGAGAGCTAGCTATCGAATCTCCAGAAACTCGAAGGGTGAATTTTTGGATTCACCAGATTGGTCAGGAGAGGTCAGGTGAATAACCACACTTGGGTCCTGTATGCGTGTCTCACAAACACAGCACACATCCATGCCCGAGTTGCTAGAGTCTTTGCCAACGAAGCCTGTTGGCCAATTTGACGGAGGGTGCGGACATTGAAGGCTCCAATATGTAATTTGGAGCGTGGTTTAAGGAGACCAGGGATGCTGTTCTGTGGACTCAGATCGTTGTCGAAGGCTGCAGAGGTAGGAGAAATTGAAGATGATGCAGCATCATTAATTAAGAGACGTGAAGGAAGATTAGAAGGTAATGATGGAGGAGGAGGATAGCAGTCAGAAGAAACTTGGGTGCTGACAGAGTTGTGAGGGCGGTTGACACTTCCCGGCTGCCCACACCGTGGAAGGCTATTTCTTCTTAAGGTACCTGAAAGAGATGTACAATAGCTTATAGTGTATTTACTCAAATCTGGTGGAATCTGGGGGTTAGAAAACACAGATTGAACATTTCACGGTTCTAAAGAGTTCGTGGTGAGATAATCAAACGAAGGAACAAATAAAAGCAGTTGTTGAGAGTACTATGCGGTAGACTTCAGAAGGTATCGCTTATAGCTTTCGTAACCACCTGTTTCATTTCTTTATAACTTGAGTCCTAATGACTTGGGATTTTTCATACAATAAAACTTCACAACAGTTGTCTGTGCAGATTGATATCTCGTGTTTGATGACTGATATTTCTTGTACTCCAAATGTTATCTTATGTTCGGATAAATAATCTTCATCTGCATAGTCTGTCCTTCAGACGTTTCAGTTTCTATAGCTAAACGAAATCGTTTTGTTGTTAATTTGATAACTTGTGACGACCTTAACTAATAGCACAGATCTGCACAAATATGAATGGTTAAAAAGACGCCTAGATGGTTGCCGGATTCGAACCGCTAGTCTTGAGATTTTCGGTCGATAGAGAAGTAAACATATCTCATAGTTGTGAGGTTATATTGATATGATATGGACTATAGACGTAATCCATTAAATAATACTGTTTCACATCTGTTAAATGAAATAGAATTGCATTCCACCATGGTGCCAAAGTTTTACTCTAATAATAATGGACACATTGTCTTAGATTCTTTTACCGAAGTGCATCCACTGAGGTTGCCATTCTCTGCATCAGCACAATCAAAGTAAGTACGTGAGTGGGTTCCTGTCTAATATTGACTTATAATGAAAACTGTGCCTAAAGTAAATTTCATGATAGACAAGTTGATTTTCTGTAGGGTACTTAAATTATGAGTTTTTTAACCTATCGACTTTGACATTTGTTTTTCACTATAAGGTTCTAGGCTGTATATTCATTAGATGTGTGAGTTAAGCTCGGCAAACCCGATAAAACTACGGATGTTTCAGATCCGGTCTTGGGTGTGTCAATCAGGTATTCATCCTCGTCCAGGATTTGGAACGGTGGCATACTTACCGACCCCAACAGTGGCTGTATTTGTTAACCTGAAGGCAGCATTCCACCAGTTCGATCGAGAGGTCTTACAACAGTGTCTCTCACTGGAAGGAGTGCCAGGTAAGTAAGTCACCTTATTAAGACTCTGTACTCAAACATCTGTAGGTGGGTGGAGCCTATTTTGAGTTTTTCTGTCAGCTGAGTGTGTTGACCGGTGTCCATCAAGGATTCCCACTCTCCATTCTTATATAATTTCGTCATAGACGTGCTTATAGTCTCCACCCTGTCGTCCTTATTACAAGAGACTCTTTGGTAGACCTACAGTATGCAGATAAAACGATGCAACGCAGGAAGAGCTAACAGTGTGCGACTCTAAGTTTTCAAGCATGGAGGTAGGAAATTGCTAATTAAGGTGATGGAGGTACGGAAATCAGAGGTATTTTCGTCAGACTGGTATACTTCACTGATTATCGAAGTCTATGAAAAGGGAGAGGAGTCTTCTTGTGACAGCCACAGGGGACTTAGTGTGACCAATGTTGTGTGCAAGATTCTAAGGTCCATAATTATCCGACGTCTAACTGAAGCTCGAGAAAACCAAGCAGATTTCAGACAGAGCTGGACGAGAGTCCATTTATCATATTTTCACCCTTCTACAGGTTCTGGGACACAAGCACACCTATCGACCAATGGCTGAAACTTACCATATTTGTTGACCTGAAGACAGCATTTGATTCCGTTGAGCGTGAGGTGTTGTGGCATTGTCTGACTGTGAATGGAGTACCGAGCAAATATATAGTTCTAATCAAGCCACTCTACTGGAATTCATGCAGCCGTGTCAGGGATTATAGAGAGTTTTCATGTGAATTGACGACAACTAGTGGTGTCATATTGTCACCGTTCCTATTTAGCTTCGTTATAGACGTACTAATGGATATAACTTTAGGTACGTCTGACTTCAGTGGAATTGCTCTACTCCGTGGATGCCATCTGTTTGACTCGGAGTATGCAGACAATATCATCCGGCTAGGTGAGGGCGCTAACAAAATGCAGGATCTTGTAAACTCGTTGATCAAAAACCTGTGTATGTTTGGCGTGTTTCGCTGGCACCTGTAAAATGTAAGATGATGCTGAAGGACTAGTCTACTGCAAGTACTCTCAGTTCATTGAAGGGTAGTGAATTGGTTGACTGTGTCAACCAGTTCACTTGTTTGACTGCATCAATGTAGACGGTCTGTTCGCTGACGAAATCTCAGCTCGCATACAGAGTGCTTGTTTTCATTTGCCAACTTGGGTCATCTGTGGCGCCGACTGGCCAGATATCCGATTTTCCATCAAAGGACGAGTATACTGCATTGCAGTGCATTCTGTCCTGTTCTACGGCTGTGATACATGGTCGTTGAAAATAGAAATGAAGCTGTTGCAGAGTTTTAATCATAGATGTTTTCACAGCATTGCTGGCATTTAGTGGAATCACTGCGTGAGCAGTGTTAAGGTCAGGTGGAGGGTACTTGGAGATATAGGCAAGTCGGTTGATGAGGTTATTGAACAGTAGTGGACTGCGCATGCTGATCCACCACTTATCTCGACATACTGTGCTAGAGGATGCTAGATTCAGTAGGAAGAGAATTCAGTGTGGTCAGACCAAGAAGTGTCGCCAGTCGATGAATTCTCTTACTGTTAGCGAGATGTGTAAACTGTCTGGTTTAGTTCGTTGAGGAAATAAAAATCAGTTGTTGAGGACTTAGAGTGACATGACTGAAAATCACTCACACTCAGATTGTTTATTCTTTCTCATGGGTTTATTCTGTTTTGATCTGAATCTTTTTCTATCTGCATATTCTTTGTATACTACTGTGAAGTTGTGGTAACTTGTATCAATGCACTTTTTTGTAAGGTTCTACATTGATTTTTTTTTCTCAATCACTCTCTTATCTAAAAACAGCTAACTGATAATTATTTTCAGTTTAAAATTTCATGGAAGTATATGTCTAGAAAGTCATTAGCAAGTGTTAATTTGATAATATATCCCAAGCTTACATGAAAGTCCATTTTAATGTTGAAACAAATGAAAATTATAAATTATTTTTGGTGTAGATAGAAAATTACAAAGGCTTAATCACTCCCTGTGAATATTAAATTCCATCTATAATCCCTTAATAATATTCCTGAACTAACTTTATCTCTAACTTCTGAATGTTTATCCGAAAGATTTAATCACAAAGTTCAAGTCTATTTAGTATTTTAGAGTAGAATTATTTGTGTTCAGTCAACATAATGGGTTGATTGTTGAATAAAGTTTTAATTTACTATAATTGAAGAATTTTATGCAGTTTTCATGCTCTTTTTAAATATATTGTTTCAATCAGTGTAAAAGTCAACTGTGACATATACAAAGTAAGCCAATTATTTTAATAAAGAAAATACTCTTAGCTTATTTTAATAAATTATACTATCATAGTGTGAGCTATTTTCTTTTTCATAATTGATATTCTGTTTCATGATCTTTTATTTAGGTATAAAACATCAAGTTCGTGCTCATTTAGCATTTGGTTTACAAACTCCAATTCTAGGTGATCATAAATATTCACATGCTGAATATTTAGCTCCTCAGCGTTTACCAAAAAAATTATTGGAAGCGCTTAACATTAGACAGTCTAAAGTAAGATATTTATCTTTACATTTACATGCTTCAAATCTACATCTTTGTATTTCACCATCATCGTCTTCTGTGAATAATCAAGGCTTCTTTGATTTCATTCGTTCACGTGATGAACACCTATCTTGTATTTCTGCTGTCAATCATCGTTCTATGAACAATCCTCAAAATTTCATGCACCATTACCTAGTCATTTTCTTGATAATTTAAAACGAATCGGATTAAAGTTACCAAAATATTTAAAAAGTTTACATTAGTAGTAATTCTTGCATCATAATTTATACTAATTAATAATAATGTAAATGTGATTATGCATTATATTTATACAACGATGTGGATATCATTCCGGTTTGTATTCTTCTCAGCTTATATACACAATGTCTCCATTCTTTTCACTTGTGGTATTTACTGCTCCAAAACTAATGTGAAAACCTGTATTAATTCAGGTTTTTAACTGATTATTCATTGAAGTTACAAAGCAGTTGACGTATTAATTGTATAATTCACTGTGACGCATTTTACTTTCCTAATAACTAAGTCTTACAACTTCAACCGGTTAGTGTAACTGATGATGGATCTAAAACCATATTCGAGTTCTAGGTTCTGCTTTTCAAATATGATGCCTTCTGACCGGTCTTAGTCACTAATCATCCCAATCTTTAAGAAAGGAAAGGGATCCTCTTGTCTCTCACTGAAATGGATACTGAGTAACTACATAACTTTATTGAGGGTTCTTTACTCAAAAACCTGTGGGCGTGTTAAACCCTATGGTGTGATTTCAGGTGATCTGTGTATGTATCCGTCAGAGATCCCCACTTTACCCATTATTATTCATTTTTGTCACAAACATTCTTGTAGGGCTTGACCTAGTCACAGAAGAATTCTCGATAGACCTAGAATAAACAGATGATATAGTCCTGTTAGATGAAGATGATGACAAGATGAAGAGTCTTCTGGACACCTTGAGTGGCAATTTGAGGATGTTTGGGATGCGTTTCTCACCACCCAAATGCAAACTTTTGCCCCAGGACTGGTTTTCAACGATGCCCTTACTAACAATGGATTCTGAAGTGGTTCAGTGCGTTGAACACCTCACTTACCTGGGAAATTGGATCAGCCTTGGTGCATTGGTCAGTGGCCGACGAAATCTTTCCACAGATACAAACGGCTCGGTTGGCTTTTGCCAACTTACACTATCTGTGGTGCTGCCGCGATATCCGATTGTCTATTTAGGGTCAAATGTACTGTGCTACAGTCCGCTCTCTTCTACTGTGTGTCTGTGGGACATGGCTAACAAAGGGAGAGGACATGAGAAAGCGTCTGGTGTTTGGTCAACGTTGCCTTCTTAACATAGGACGTATGTCGTGGTGTCACCATGTCAGTAATGTAGACCTCAGATGTAGGGTTTTAGAGAGGAAACAAAGTTCAGTTGAAGTGGTTTTGAACTTTCATTCACTGAAGTGGCTGGTACATGTGTTACTTCCACCCAGTCACTGTCTGCTTCGTCGCACTATGTCACAATGGCTATATGTATAGGTTTAGTTCGTACTTCATCGGAAAGGTCCAGTGGGATGTGATAAATCACACTGTATGCTTTCGTTTTCTCCACTCTGTGATCATTTATAACTTCATGGGATAAAATGAAACACCTCATGGTTTGAGCTTATGCTTTACCTAGCAACAAAAATAAGTATTTAATGATAGGTTGGTTGAGTTTCTCTACAGGAGCAATTAGATTAGCGATACCACATGGAAGTGATGCGACTTGGTAATCGGTCTTTTCTTCGTTGACTAGAAAATAATAGACAAAGACTAGCTGCATGATAAGTTCTATTCCTTGATAACCTGCGAGGGTAGGGTTTCGTTGTGCATAGTTCTACCGTGTTGAGTTACAGACTGCAGTGAAGCACGTTCGGACTCGGATGGTGATTTTTCCAAGGAGAGATCACTGAGTATAATGACCAAGGGTTTATTTATATAACCTTGTGACGCAAGGGATCAACATGTTCTTGTCAGACGTCAGTTATTTGGTAAGGATGGTATAACGTTTTGTTATATCCTCTTCATGTGGGTATCTTCCTATTTTCTCCTAGTTAGCGAAATTGTCGGTATTTCTCTGTCAGAGTCTTTAACACAATCTGACGGTGTGAAAATGAATAGCAATGTTCTTGCTTCGAAAACTATTTTCTTTTGAACACGGGTTTTTCGAGTGCTAGTGACCCATTAGTAAGATGTGATAGCTTGTCTCAAATAGAGCAAGAGTGTATCCCTGTTCCTAAGTTTCATAACTGGTAGTTTTCAAAAACACCCTCAGAAGCATGAACGTAGAAAAATGAATTCATAATGTGGCACGAGGTGGATTATATTGCAATGATCAGTTTCTAGAGATTTCGAAAGTTTCATGTACTGGCCGTCAAAAGTACTTCTTCTAGCTCATTGCGCTGGAATTTTGATATCAGCTCACTAGCTGAGACATAAAATCTCGTTTGATATTTTCGTGATCTATACGGCTGGCTATATCTGTCACCACTGATAAATGTGACTCGCTTTCTTGGTTGCTATAAGTTTTAGTGATGTAAAACTCAGGGACGACTAGTCACGCTAAAGATTCTGTATTGTTGTTGCTACATTAGCTGCCGATGAGTTATGACTAAGACTACATCGTCGATTATTTGCAGAGGGTAAGATAACTAACGAAAAGTCTAAATTATGATCGTGTTGTTGTAATGGATTGTGTATCTAACAGTGATAAAAGAGGAAAATTTATTTTACATTGTCTCAGTTCTTATAGGAAAAAATCTCTAGAAATATGAACTTTTTGAAAATGATCTCAACTTACTGTCCAACAAGTAATGATTTTAGTTCTACTTTGGGTTGTCGAAGCGCCCGTAATATGAGCTAGAGCTGTGACAGATGCTAGTCAAGTTTCTTTATGAAGAAATTTAAGTCGCAACCGTAAAGAATGTCAATGAAATATATACAACGATGGCATAACTACCTTACAATCCATTGAGGGGTCGCCACGCATTTTCAAATAACATGATCTAGCGAAATTCAGCTGCATTTATGCCTCACTGCAGAACACTTAATCATACGTATATTAGTTGATTGGAAGGGTTCTTCGGAAAAGTTGATAGTTCTCTAAACGATCGGGATCAGTAATGTCATTTAGTTAATCCTGATTTACCTCTAGCCATCAAAACATTGTCAGCGGTTAACGTGTAATTCCGGCATGTTATGCAGCTCCTTAGCATCACAGTCGTGGATAGTAGAATAAAGGCTTCAGATAATCTACGTCTTATTAGCATGTTATCCAGCTTCGCAGATTTAACGAACTTGCTAAGCTAAAGGCACACGGTCAAGGATCCATGCCATTTGGCCTGTCATCATGTTACGTTGCGTTGGTCGTATGCGATCCTTTAGTCGGAACACATTGATATTTTTGCATGGTCTGTTAAAAATACTATTCCACCTGGTTGCTCTATTGTGTTCTTTCTAGATCTCGCACTCGCGGGTCTCTTACAAGTACGAATAGTTGTTGGTTGACCTCTGCGTCTGTGGAATTCGCGTACGAACAATTCCTAAACGTCCACATTATTCTAGGAAACCTTAGGATAGGACAGGAAGTCGGTGCTCAGCAATCACCACATGCAATTAGCATGCAGATTTAATGGAAGGACTTCATTCAGTACCAGTGGTCCCATATGCAGCAGAAACAGTGGATATTATGTTGCTTTCTGCGTAGATGCGTCACTCAGTGGGCGGCACTTCCTGTGAAAATCTCTGAGTGTTGTATCAGTACACTTACTCATACCACTATCCGTAGCATATGAAGTTTTACCATTTGGTCGCTTTTCTTCCCTACTTGCAAAATTCAGCCAGAAGTTGATTAGTTTCTTCAACCTATCCCAATGACTCAAGTGCACGTAGTCTAAAGGAAAAGCAAATATCATATCAGTCAGCAGATCCTCTAGGCTGGAATAACCACGAAGATGTTATAACCGTATCTGTAAAAATGATATGCACCTGTAAATTATAATTATTAAAATGATATTTTTTAAAGATGGGTCAACGATGGCTACGTTCCAGAGCGATGCAACACTATCGGTGTGCCATACATTCTCAAACAGTCTAACCAGTCCCCTGACTAAGGTCGTCTCACCACCTTTAAGAAAGAAGGGGGGTAGTTTGTCTTGGCTGGGTGCCCTGCGGCATTTCTGAACTTGGAGTCCCTCATGGACCTCTGCTTCGTTAGGTGGATCATGTAGTTGATCCGGATGGGATAATTGCCGTTATACCTAAAAAGGGATGTAAAGTTATAGTTTTTTGCTTCTGATTTTTTTCTCATTTCGGTTTATTTCTATTATGAAATTATAAGGAAAAACGTTATGGATTACGTACTTGATGGCTACTTATTATTCGCTTCACAGCATGAGTTTCTGAAAACCAGATTCTATAACACCTGCATGTCAGATTGCCTTGAATGTATCATCCAAAAGCGTGATCAAGTGTTTTTTGTTGCTGCAGTATTCCTTGATTTCTAGAAGCCATTTAACAAGTTGCCCTACCAGGGACTAATTTCGAGGCTTGGATCATTCTGCATCGTAAGCCGTTCATGTGACTTGTTTGAAGCATTTCTTTATGGATATTCTCAAATGGCCAAATTAAACGATTGCTTTTTAAACTTTCAACCTATTACGAGCGTAGTGGTCCGAAGAAGTGTACTTGGTCCACTTCTTTTACTCGTGTAAACCAATTATAATTGAAGAAGGTTAATTGTGGAAAGTCACGTCTTCATAAAGATTACCTTAAGATTGTCCACAGCTCCAGTACGATGCAACTGCTAACGGTGTGTCAGCGTCTCAGGCTGGTTTAAATATTCTACTTGACTGGGGTGAGAAACGGCGACTTGCACTGAACCATGAAAATGTGGGATTCTCCACTTAAGTAAATAAATATTTTTTTCTGGGAAAATCTACCGCAGAATCGCATAGTTTTTAGGAGATAACAAATTCAAACATAATAGGGTGTGCAATCTGGGTGCTTAGTTTTCTGGTGATCTTAACTTCACTGGGCATGTCTCATTCATCGTCTCTGAAACTAGAAGATAGTTGGGTTTTCTTTTGAAGAGCTTCTGTGCAAAAGAGGCTAAAGTGGGCGCTTTTTAAACTTTATGTCAGACTAACGCTGGAATATGGCTCACTCGTTTT